TGCATAAAACTATAGCAATTTAAAAACCACTAACCTCGAGTGACTCGATCTGTCTAGTGAGACTCGAGACCCCTTTCATCACCTTCTCAGCCTCCTCCACGCGCATAGTCAACCTTTCAATCTCCTCTTGAACACCAATGACCCAAGGCTGCCTATAATGTAAACCATCTCCCTTGTAAACAAAGAAAAACAAAATGAAGTTAGACAATTATTTTTTAAAAAAACACAGATAAAAAAGGCTTGGAATAACATTACCTTGTACTTAGAACAAGTGAAGAACCGCTTCCCCGGGATTGTGTCAAAGTCCTCCTTCCCACTAACCTCGTCGATGATCTTCGCACCACATGCACACCTTCTTGGCATCCCGAACTCAGAATCGGCAACGTAGCCAAGAATGTTCAAGTGTTCCTTCAGCCTCTTTGACTGTCTTCTCTCTTCCGCGGGATCCATCTGCATAAGACAAAGCAAAATAATGAGACAGTATACTAGAATGTTTCATTCTTATGTGGAAATCCTTTTTTCTAAACCCTAATTGAAATCCCCAAATCGATTTTTTGAAACCCTAAATTGAAATCCAAAATCGATTCATAAGTAACCCTAATCGAAGTCTAAATCGAACCCACATCACAGTTTAGAACAATAAATCAAAACCCCCAAATCCATTTTTCGAAACCCTAATTTGAAATCCCAAATCAATTCGAGATAAACCCTAATTGAAGCCTAAATCCAACCAACACCACAGTTTAGAACAATAAAGAAAAACTCCCGACTCGATTAACATCAAAACCTAAAAACCCCTAAATCGATTTCGATTGAGCTTCCCCGAATTCGTTAAAACCCCTAAAAACATGAACTTGAGACGGTTAATCGACGAGAAACTAACCTGAGATGATCGAGGATGCACACCGTCGATGATTAGCCGGAGTAAATCAACGGTCTTCGTCGTCGCACCAAGAATCGCCTCGGAGCAAAAAAAACCCTAGGTTTCTTTCGAGAAAGGACGAAATGAAATAACACGCCTCTAGGAAGAAAGAAGCCGATTTGGCGCAGGAGGGAACGTCCACTCCACACGCGACACGTGTCTTGAACCCGTATCATACGGGTTCAGAGTTAAGACGCGGATCATGGGTAATTACCCATTTTCTATTTTTCTTTTTCCTTCTGGGCCTAAGACCCCGAGCCCAAAAACCGGCTAAGAACCCTCAATG